TCTGAACTGTGAAACGTTGACTGTTTTGTTAAAAAAAGAAAAACAATAGAAAGAAAAACATTTTATTTTAGGAATAAAAACGACAACCTTCAGAGTTCAGAATAGTTTTAACAGAAAACTTATAAATGATTACTAATAACAGACAATGATAAATTATCACGTATAAGTAAAACAAAAGAGGTAAAAGAAAAATAAAAATTTAAACATAATATAATGAATGAGACGAGAAAAAAATATAAAATGCAAGTTAAAAATGGACCCAAATATTAATTAATGCAGTATGCATTTCCAACTAACTGCGTCTTGTTTTGTCGGCAGAAATTTTACACTGCAACAAGAATTGTTATTACAATAAAATTTAAACACTGTATTATTCTCTTAGCATGAAACTATTAAATGTTGTAATAAAAAAGTTATACTATTGTAATTACCATGCATTTTTTTTGGCAATATTTAGAACGAATCTTAGTAAATTTGTCTTGTGACAATTGAAAAGGGAAATTTTAAGAAAAATCTTTTATTTAACATTTAACATTTAACTGTTGGATTGAAAACTATTGCAAAGTGAAATGAATTTAGATTATCTGGAGTTACAAGAATAAATTCATGGATATATTTAGTTGTTGAACGTGTCAATTTTGTGTTTTATCTTTATTATAGTATTAGAATTTTAATTTTACAGTTTTATTTCATTTTCATCAAATATCATTTTTAAATATTAAATAATCATTATTTCATTTCATTTAATAAAAACATATTACAATGTTAAATAATAAATTGACAACATGTAAAACTTTATTCATTCAAATATATAATTATTTAAACTCTTTATTTGAATACTATAATTAGAATTTAGAATGATAATTTGGATAGTATTACTTTTAACCTAGCATTGTGGCGGAACTATCATAATTAAATCCAACCAGGATTGTGTGACTTTTGTTCTTGGTTCTTTAAAAGTTATTGATTTGAGTTTGGTGTTGTTCTGTTGTGTGTGTCCATAGCATTAAATGTTCTGTTTCCCAGATCAATCAAATTATTACTGCCATGTACTTTTTATTTCCAACCACAGAATCATCCATATTAATGCACTTTTAAAAAAAATAAAAATTGATGTACTAATAATTGAAAGGAGTTGAATAAAACCCTAGTTACATGTATATGTATATAAGTAAATAAGAACTTCAAAATAATCATAGTTAAGCAACAACTATAAGAAAAAGGAAATTAAAGTTGATTGAAAAAAATATTACATACTACAAGCCTTTATTATTTTTTGTAAAAAAAAATATATTTTAGCTTAATTTTTTCATAATATATATTTTAAAACTATCTAAACTTAATAAATTTATTCATTAAATTTGTTCTATAATAACATGTTAAAAACTACGGTGTAAGAGAAAATTGACTATTGTTAAATACTACCATTTCAAATACCTTAAGTAAGTTGTTTAAAGAAAATTCTTCTGTATTAAGCTTTAAAAAATTTACTAATAATTGAATATTTGTGTGTGTTAAGCTTGAAGAATTTTATAAGTAAATATTTATATGACATGATTTATTGGATATCTATGTTCTACTATAATATCAAATCACATGCAAGTGGGTGAAAAGTTAATAGAAATTTCTATTATTTGATTAGAGATGAAATTGTGTCATCAACTACTCAACAGATATACCATAAGAATTGTCATGTTGTATGTAAATTGCTTTATTGAAAATGTAATGTATCACGTCTAGTGGATGAATTATAAAAGATTAATTTAATTTATTTTAACAATTTTATATTTGATATTATATATAATGCTGAGGAAATTTTATTTTGAAGGATAATTATGTAAATGTATAAATATATTCACTTATAAGAAATTTTGTATATGTTTAATGAAATTGATTGAAAATTGAGCATTAATATATAACTCATTTTATTAATTAAATAATAATATTTATTATTTTATAAAATATTTTCAGTTATTGATTATATGTTTTAATTTGTAAAATCATCACTACCTTACCTTATTTTTAATTAGGTATATGGTAAATTATTAGGCTATATTACACTTTTTTTTCTCTTTGATTCACATGTGACATATCAGATAGTCTAAATTCATAAAAAAAACAATATGTTTGTTTATTAGGGTTTCTATGAGCAGGTTTGAACTTTTTGCGATATTCCTTGGTTGAAACTTTTGCTTGGTTAGCTAGATTTCCAGTAAGAGAAACCAATATGTTTGACTATGATTCATATTTTACTTTTGATATTTATATGATGAAGAATTAATGTTAAGAATTGAATTATGATTATATACGGTTTTGAGATATGAATGTATTGTTGAAGTGATTAGATCATAGGTGCTGTGATATATAGTAACGGTAAATTGACTATGATTCATGTTTTACTTTGGATATTGGTATTATGATGAATGTTAAGATGAAATTAAGTAGTTATTACACGACTATTTTAAAAATATGAAAAAAAGTTGTGCGTACCCATCTATGGTAATAGTTGATTTTTCACAAAAAAAAACCCCTCATTTATTTAACAAATATTTGACATAAAAATAAAAATATTATTAATTAAATATATTAGGATAAATAACTACTATTAAAATATTTATTATTATTGATAAAACACAATTTAAGTCTTTTTTTATTTAACATTTTCTTCATAATTTTAATCTTATATTTTCTTTTCTGATATTTTAGTCTTTATATTTCAGAAAATGTGTAATTTTACGTTTTTTTTTCATTTTTATTCGAAAAAACCCTAAACTTGTTATATCCATTTAATATACACAACTAATAAAAAGTAATTAATTAAAATATAAAAAAATAAAATTACATATTTTCTAAAATTCGAAAGCAAATACGTGAAAAATATAGAAACACTAATATCATAAACAAAAAAGTTAGGAGAAAAAAAAGTAGCCTAAATCGTATTGTAAAACTCTTTTAAATATTCATCACATTTTTTTAAAAGAAAACCTAATTTAAAAAAAAATCATCGTAAAAAATATATGTTAAAACAAACCTGTTTATAATATCAGTTTGGTTTTCGAAAAATCGAATTCTGATAATTAAAATCCTTTGTAAAAAAAAAAAAAAGAGTTTAGAATTTGGTTGTATGAGAATCAAATTTTGAACTGAGTTTTGTTTTCTTTTTCCTTTTATAATTAAATATTAAATTGAATTATTTGATATAAATTAAATGAATTAATATATTAAATCACACTTTAAATATTAAATTAATTTAATTAATATATAATAATATAATTAAATAAAAGTATTATTATACATTAAATAAAATCATTTTAATATTAATTACTAAATTTTTAATTATGAGAGAAAATAAAGATTATATAATGATATTATTAATTTTGACATTAATATTATAAATAATAATAAATAGTAAATAGTAAATAGTAAATAATAAATAGTAAATAATAAATAATAAATAATAAATAATAAATAATAAATAATAAATAATAAATAATAAATAATAAATAATAAATAATAAATAATAAATAATAAATAATAAATAATAAATAATAAATAATAAATAATAAATAATAAATAATAAATAATAAATATTATATATTATATATTGAATATTGATTATTAAATACTAAATATTCAATATTAAATACTAAATATTCAATATTAAATACTAAATATAAAATATTAAATACTAAATACTAAATATTAAATACTAAATATTAAATATTAAATTATTAATGAATATATTTAACTATTAATAATAAGTTTATGAATTTAGAAACAATAATTATTAAATAATTTACTTATAAAAAAATCAAGCATTTAAATAACCTTGTTATTATAATATTATTAATTATTATATTTAAAAATTTGTAAACATTAATATATATATATATATATATATATATATATTGATAATTTTATTAATAAATAGAATTAATGTAAAATTTTCATAATTAATGTATATAATAACTATTATAAGTAAATATGTTATGAAAGTGACATATATAATTCGTAATTTGAAGTTATTTATTTAATATTAATTACTTTTATTTTTAATATAATATATTTATATAGTATATTTCAATCCATAATTATAATATTATGTAGGTATATAAGTAAACATATTATGAAAATGACATATATAGTTCTGTTTATACAATTTAATTGTTTAATAAATATTAATTTGGTTTTATAAATAAAATTTATTTTTGAAATAATGTTTTAAAAATATTGTAAATTTAATTAATGTTAATATTTAATAATACTTTAATTTAATTATATTATAATATAAATAATATTTAAAATTTATTTTCACAGTAAAAGTTCATAAACATATAAAAAATTTAAAACCTAGTTTAAATTCAATTATCGAATTAGTTAGTATATATTCTACTAAATATTTTGAGAACGAGGAAACTTTTTCTGAAATATGTTTAATTGGCCTAAAAAGATCAATCCTTAATTTGTTATTAAAATTAAAATTAATTTCAAAAAATAAATAACAATTCTTAAGCTTAATATTGAAAGATTTGAAATATTTTTCTTTTTTAAATTAAAAATTAAGAGATTCTTTTATTACAACTTTAGAAAATGAACTAAATTCACCCTAATTATCTTCATAAATAAATAATGTAAAACATAGCTTAGCATAAGAAAATGAGGGATACTTTTATGATCACATGACTTATAATTTGTTGTATGAAAGGTTGGAGTTATCATCCTATTTTCTAACTCGTGTCCTCCTAACTCTAGTATCTTATCTAATACTATCCATGAAACCAAAATTTGTAAGATACTCTGCTTCAAGTTTATTAGCCAGAGATATAAAAGAAGGAAAGAGGTGGAATGTGAGTGTGTGGAGAATCATCAAAATCTGTGTGAAGCATATGACCCAACACCCTCGCAACTCCACCACACCACCCATTTCCAACCACCACAAGAAGCAGAAGAAGCAGCAGTAATGCAAGCATAACAGAGCAACACCATCAAACACAACACCAATGACAACATCAAAACCAATCAACAACAACAATAACCAAAACAGCAACATCAGTGGCATGGGAATGAGTATGCTTCTGGTCTTATTCTCCCAAGACAACAAATCCACCATCACCGACAACCCCAAACTCACTTTCCTTTCCCCGTCCAAATCCATCTTCTCAAAAGCACAATCCACCATCTCCGTTTGCCTCCTTCTCTTCTTCACCACGCTCCTCCTCTTCACACTCTCCACTCTCCCCAACACTTCTCACACCCACAAACGCACTTCAAGCACCTTTTCATACACCCCTCACCAACCCTTCGCGCTTCAACGCATGGGCACGCTCCACCGAAGAGGCACGAAATCCATGTCCGACCTTCTCATCTGCCACGTCCCAGACGACACCCCCCTCGACGACTTCCGCCTCTTCCTCCGCCTCCTCCACCGCTCCTCCCTCACCGCCTCATCCGACGTCGTTTTCCTCTTCTCCTCCCCCTCCTCATCCTCCAAATTCACCCCCATTATCTCTCAAGAGAACCACGCCTTCTTCTCGCTGCTTCATCTCCACACGCGCCTCAACTCCACGCGCTGCCGCCAACACCCCAAGTCCTCCTTCGACCCCAACTGCTTCAAACAACATCAACACCTACAAAAGGAACCATTTTGGGGTCCCAAAACAAAAAACAACTTGACCAGTTCCCGCTCCCACTCACTGAGTTACGGGTCGGTCCTCAGTTTCCACGCCTCCGAACTCGACCCGGAGAACTCGCTCGCCGGCTTCCTCGACCGCGTGCCTCTCACTCTCCGCCGCTGGGCGTGCTACCCCATGCTCCTCGGCCGCGTTAGACATAGCTTCAAAAACGTGATCCTCGCCGACGTCAAAACCCTCTTGATTCTCAAAGACCCACTCGTCCGAGTCAGAACTCGGAGCCCCGACACAGTCCTTGTTTTCTCGAAACAAGAAAAACACGGCAAGAGAATGCAGCGTATTGTTGTGTCCTCCGTTCTAATGGGCGGCGCTCGCGGCGTGCGGCGGCTGTCCGGCACTGTGGCCGTAGAGATAGTCCGCGCTGTCACGCAGCACAGGAAGAGGAAAAACCCCGTGACCGAGTCGGCCATACTGAGTCAACTCGTCGGCGAGAGCGAGTTCGTTTTGAAGAATAAGAATGTTGATTTGGTCGCTTCGTCGGAGTTGATACCCGAGGCTGGTGGCTCATCCGCGACGTCGTTTTGGGACTTCCCGATGGTTCATCGCGGTGTGAGTAATCACGACCTTAATTATGTCATCAGGAAGCAAATGTGTTCCTCTGTGGAGGATTCTTCTGTCTATAGAGATTGTTAATTACACCAGTCTAGGATAGTAATCATAATTATAATAATAATAAGAAAAATAACACACCAAGGAAAAATTAATAAGGAAATTTATCTTGTTATTTTTGCTTATTACCAAACTTTCGGTTTAGTTTGACCAATTTTGTTCCTACTTTTGTATATAATCATTCATCTTGGAATTACATTTTTTGTATTCTTCAATGGGAAAGTTGTGGACCAGTGTGTTCAAATCAATGGAGCTGACAGAAGATATGACCCTGCAAGACTATGCACCCAAATGCTCATATTTATTTATTAATATTTGTTCAGGGTCTCATGGAATCAGAGCATGTTAAATATATGTATATATTTTTTCTGTTCATAGACATTTAAATAATTTGATTTTGGCCCTTGATTTAGGGCACTTGTTTGTAGTATTTGTTTATTTTTCCTTGATTATCAGTTACTTGGGCAGAAGGTTTTGTGATGTATTTCAAAAAGATAGTGTTGGTTCTTCTTAATTTCAATATCAGTATGTTCTGAGAGCCATATGCAGTACAGGTCTCAACATTTTTCAGTTTCCCCTTTGCTTATAGAAAAATAAGTGCTTTTGAAGAAACTGCTTTTGACTTGGGTTTTCGCGAGACAACATTGTGATGGGTGCAGATCTATGGTTAAAGATTAGTGGGTACGAAAAGTGCAAGAGAAGAAAATGTAATGGAAAATGAAAATATGAATGCAAGTTTTTTGAAAGGCGTGGGTGAACCACAGTGGGGATCTGTGTAAGGAATTGATGAGTGCATGTGCTTGAGGTCTTTTTGGCTCCAGCGATGAACGCGTTGGCAATCAATATAAAAATATAAGCAATTTTTTCAAAGTTGCAGCTTCTAAAAGCAGAAAGAGCAGGAAAACGTGCTTATTACGCCGTTCTGTTCTGTTTTTGTTCTGTCTTTTGCTTTGTTACCTAAACGAGGCCTTTTACTTCAAAGCAGTTATATGGGGTTTAGTTTAATGAACAACGTGATTAATTTCTACAATCTTTATTTGAGACTCTGGGAAGTGTGCATTTTTGGTATTGAGGTTGCAAGATTGAAGGATGGTATATGTTGACTTTGCACCATTTATGGTTGCTTGTAAACAAGGTCGTTTCCTTTTTAATTAGGGTTAGTGTGTTGGGTGTAGTCTTTAGACTTCAAATTGCTAATATTTGAACACAATATGCTTCTTCCATGAAAGTTTTTTCAAGACTATTAATCAATAATACCAAGATTTAAACACACCCATTGGGAGAAGGAATGAGACTGTGAGAGAAGAGGAAGAAGAAGTGGTTGAATTTTGTAGTTTGGATGTTTAGGAAATGCTCCACAATGTGTTACTTTCCACTGCTAAAGCCAAATTAGTCACCGACACCAATAATTGGCTTCTTATTGCTTATGGTTGATGTATAAAACAAAATACAAAAACAATGTTAGATGAACATGCACTCAGTTACAAATTCACGTGAAGCATTTTATACGTGTCAATTGCATGTTTAAGTGTAACTTTTGTCCATTAAATACTTCTCCCATACACAGTTTTTTTTTTTTTTTTTAATTAAGATGAAGATCCAGTTGAAGGAGATTAGGATCACTTTCCTAATTTCAACCTCAAATATTGACAATAATATATGTAATTTTTATTTATACATTTTTTATGCACTATGCATATTAGAAATATACTCTAAATTAAAGACAACATTTTGTTATCTATGTAGACTGGTCCCAGATTAAATGTTTCTTTTCTTTCTTGTAATGGTTTACTTTGTGCATCACACATTTGTGTAGGTGTCTTTTTCCCACGGACAAAGCCAGTTATATGTTACACAACAAGGAAGATAAAGTCTTAAGGTTGTTGCCAGAAGAACTGAGCCTATGGGTTGGATTCATTCAGGGAGTGTCCTAAATAAATACTTTTTTCTATCATTCAAACACTAAACCAATTATGGAATTTTTTTAGATAGAAAATGGTATTATTTCTCTAGTCATTGTCTTTAATTAGTGTCTAAATCTAATTATGATTTATGTATTCTACCTACTCCTTACTCTATTCAATGGCGTGAGTTATTAATAAAATATCAAATTATAATACTTTACGAAAATAATTCAATAGATAATGTTTATCATCATTTTTTTATTTTCTATATTATTAAATAAAGTTGAATAAACATTTTGTACAAATGTCCTCTTACTAGAGAAAAACAAGTCTATAAATATTTTTGTCTTGTATACCTATGTACGCAGTCGCAAGTTTATTATTAGTCCTTTGTTAGGAATTATAGTGACAAGTAGAGTACTTTTTTATTTTTTGGTTTTCTTTAGTTTAGGGAATACGGATATAATATTAGTCCATTTGTTTATTAAGATTTTCTTATTTTTCAGAAAAAGTAAGTTTGATTTTTTTATTTATATAAATACCTTTTTAATGTTTGAAAAATAAATAAATTTTGATTTTAGTTCTAACCAATTACTATTTGTAATAATATAATATAACATAATATATATAGTTATTGACTTATAAATAAATTCAAATTTATAAGATCATATTATTGTGTAATAAAAATAATTATTATAATTTACATGATAAGTTAATTATATAAACGAATTACTCATAAATATATTATATCACAATATTCTTTATAATCAATATCATAAATATCATTATATTCATATCCATTAACACTCATTCTTATAATAGATCTATTATATAGATTATAGTAAAAGTATTATCCTAAATTACTTTTATATGTGGGATATCTTTATCACTCTACCATGATTTTAGAATACACACTCTTTTATCATGTATATCTCATTTAATTTATTAACTTAATACCAATAATACACCTCAATTAATAGTTATTACATGTATAAACTATTATATATATATATATATATATATATATATATTAATTTAAAAGTTATTTTATCCTTTTCTATAAAAAGACTTATTGTTTTAATATAAATTTAATTGTTCTACGATGCATTATATAAAGACAATATAAAAAATTAGTCTTATAGAACAAATTTTTTTGAAGGGGACTATAATATATTTTTTTAATAAATTTTTAAAGAATTTATTTCAAGATGGTGACCTTCACCAATCTCCTTCCTTACTTATATAGTAAACTTATTTGATTATTTTATTACCTACCATTTAAGTGTCAATATTAATGTTTGAATGTTGTATCACCATAAAGAAATCAAATATGTTATATATAGCTTAAACTTACTACTACGAGTCTGAAAGGTATGATTTTTTAAATCGATAATTTTTATTTATTTATAATTCATCTATTTATTTAGAGATTCTCATCTCTTTTATATTATATATTTATTATTTATTATATTTTTTAGAAGTTTGAATCATTATCAAATAAATTTTTTAAGAGAAATTATCACCGATGGGATTCGAACTCAATACCTTAGAATGTGTCAATAAAAGGACTTTCCATGTCGGATCATCTAAGAACCGACGTTGAATGTGTCAATAAAAGGACTTTCCACGTCGGTTCATCTGGGAACCGCCGTTGAATATGTCAATAAAAAGACTTTCCTCGTCGGTTCATCTGAGATTCGACGTTGAATGTGTCAATAAAAAGACTTTCCACGTCGGTTGATTAAAAATCAATATAGAATGTGTTCAACATTCAATTTTCAACGACATTTTTTAACTAACCAACGTTAAAATTGTATTCAACATTGCCTCAGCTTTAATTGACGTTAAATGACGACGTGGAAAACATATTCTGTAGTAGTAACTCTCTTTACTAGTAATTTAGTGGTTGGAGTACCAGTCTCCAACTCTAAGATACTGGGTTCGAATTCTACTAGTGACAATTCTCTAACTTAAGCGAATTATTGGCTGAAAAAAAAAAAACATTTTCTACGTTAGTTACAATCAAAACCAACGTTGAATGTGTCAATAAAAGGACTTTCCACGTCGGTTTCATCTAGGAATTGACGTTTAATGTGTCAATAAAAAGACTTTTCACTTCGGTTGATTAAAAATCGACGTAAAATGTGTTCAACTTTTAACATCATTTTTTAACCAACTGACTTTGAAATCGTATTCAATATCGTCTCAGCTTTAATCGACGTTAAATAATAACTTGGAAAACATATTTTGTAGTAGTGACTCTCTTTCATGAGAGGAAATTCTTTTATATCAATCTTAACCATTTTATTTGTTCCTTACTCTAATGATAACTAATCACAACATCCTCATATATATATATATATATATACACACACATGTATACACATAGGCGCACACATATACAAATGCTGAGCGTGTGCACACACACACTTTAAAGCATTACATTTACACATGTAAACATATTTACATGCACGCACACATACACAAACATACTCCCACACCCACACATTACACACGCCCACTTACACACATTAGTGATTAAACAATATTTTGTGTTTTGTTTTACTCCTAGGAGAAAGATAAAAAGAGTTTGGTAAGAATGGATATTTTGCATTCATGTAATGAATTAGTATTTGTTCATAGTAAAAAAATGTAATTGTAACTTTAGAGAGAACTAGATGAAGGTCATTTGTATAAAAATATATTTATCTATTCTTCTTTTTTTCCTTTTTATACTATTTATCTTAATAAATCTTTGCCCACAAATTTTACAGAAAAAAAATTTTGTGATAAAGTTTTATAAAATACTCATAAACAGTAAACCTTTTATGTAAAAATCGCCTGTAAAACTAAATTTGAAGTTAACTTAATTTTTAGGTGTATATTATAGTTTAGTTATATTTGCAATTGATATATGATTTCTTAAACACATCTTTTTATATGGAGAGGATATAAGTGATCTCTAACACACATATTATATTGAAGACATAGGTGATTTAAAAATATTAAATAATGAGCAATACAATAAACTTAACAAACTTTATTAGAATAAACTCTAATATCATATTAAACAAATTAAGTATAATTTGATTCTAAAAACTCGTTTTTTCTCTTTTTGGAATTTCAGTTGAATGAGATTATATATATAAAAATAAATAACATTTTTATATACACTTTCTTAAATAGGCACAACATTGATACAAATCTTGTATCTATTTCATCAAAAGAACTAATACTTCTTTATTTATTTCTTTTGTTATTTTCTTTCCTAAAGCCTATATACATTAAGATAATATTTTATAATTGATGAAAAATGTTCAACTTCAGCTAGATATTTGTATTTGAAATCATGAAATTTGGTATGAATTATTTTCTTAGTGGCATATTCATTGATAATTATTAAATCTATGATAATATTTATTATTATTATTATTTTATGATAGATGAGTTAGTCATGATCATTGGGTAAGATAGGGACATGTTTTGCCTTCCTAAACCTGTTCTCGATTTTCTTAATCAACTTCATTCTTAAATCGTGAACCCTGTTGGGTTGTTGAGAGAAGATTCATGTGAGAGAAATAACACCAATGAGATATGAATCCAACTCATATAATGGATTAATACTATTTTCAACCTAAAACCTTAAGATATTGAGTTATGAGTCTTTCTTCCTTGTATGTTACTCAATTTTCTCACTCTTACTTAATGTGAAAATTAGATTCACACATTATTCAACAAACCCCACCTCTAATTTTGTTGAGGTTAAAGATTGAGTCTTGTCCATGATCCTATTTAATTTCAAGTTTTTTCAATCCCGACTTGTCATTTTTCCATATATATTTTAAAATAATTATAATTATAATAAATTAATTTGAATATTATTATTGTTTATGTATTATTTATACACAAATGAATATTTATAATTTTATAACTTTTGAATTATTATTATTGATCGAGTATATATTTTAATTTATTATATTTATATTAAAAATATATAAAAACATATTTGATAATTTTGTCTCGTGGATATAGAATATTTATAATATTGTTATTATTATATACTATAACATTATATTCAAATTTTTATTATATGTATAAGTTAATTATTTTTAAGTTTGTTATTTTCAAATATTATTAAATGTGAAATATATAATAAGAAAACATTTAATACTTTAATTAGTGTAAAGTAAGAAATTTTTTTATTGTTGGTCCTTCAAAATATAATTATTTAATTAAAATAAAATTTGATATATAATAAATAAGATTAATAAAATCCAAGAAGTATCTAATAGAAAATATAAAGTGGAAATAAAATGATACTAGGTGCTATTAAGATGAATGTGCACTGTTTAGTGAAAAATAAGAAAAAAAAAAACTTATGGGTTCGTTAAGCTAATTGTAAAGATTTGGAAAACCAACTTAGCGGAGAGATTAAGAAAATATTAAGAAAAAAAATATGAGAAAAAATAAAAATATATTTAACAAACTGATATTGAAAAAGATAAAAAAAGTAAAAAGTAAGTAAAAAAAAAAGAGTGAATAAAGAATAAATAACGTTACCTATAATATGTAAAAAAAATGTTTAAGAGATGATTATATTTTAGAACTTATATTTAAATATAAAATTAAAAATGAGATAATTCTTAATCATGCCACTAATTTCTTAATGGAGAGAAAACTTGGTAATACATGCATATTTGGTTAACTATTTTTTTTTAATCTCCAGACCCATGAGTACATTTTTGATGTTGAAGACTATAATACATTTTAATACTTAGGAATCTAGTCTTTAGGGCAAATTTCCATGCTTTTAATTGCTTTGTTTAATGTCCATACATTTTTTTCTTCTAAACACTTGTCCAATTGATCTTGAGTTCATCATGTATCGCGTAGGTGCTTTTAAACAAGGTGAGTATCAATATCACATTCTTTTGAATAATCTCGCATCTTATGATATATTTATATTAATCATAATTTTTAACAAAAACCCTATTACTTATAAAACTATATTATTAAATTAAAAATAAATCGTACGCGTTAAATGCATTATATCTTTTACAATAACAATAATAGCCAACAAAATAAATTTTTTCAAATTGTTAAAAAGTGAGAAAAGAAAGAATATTATATAACAATGATTACCATCATTGAAAGAATATTTTAGCAAACATATTATTTTTCAATTTTTACCTTTTGTGAATCTATTTTCAATCCAAAAAGTGAAAAACAAATCAGCATCACACACAAAAGCAAAAAAAAAGAGTAATTTAAGGGGCCAAGGTCACTTAAACAACCATAACACTACTTTTTTTTTTGTAGACCCTAATATTAATGCTCCACCTCCTCATAATCTTTTGAAATGCATGATTAAATCTTGTATGTTTCTGATTTTGTGGGCCATGAAAAAAAAAACGAAAAGGAAAAGAAATATATGTTCATAAGTAAAAGTTATAATAACTTGATATAGTTGCAATTGCGTGGGGTATTAGATTAAGCAAATTTAGTTTATTTAATCAATTGATTAATTACAATGTGTGTTCTTAATCTTTTGCCCTCACAAGCACGAAAACTTTACGTTATTATATTTATTAAGTATAGAAATAAACTAAATTTGCTTCATTGGGAGAGCATAAGTCCAAGCAAAAGAGAACATAATAAAGTGCGTACAAGTTTTCTTCAACTTGATTTATTTGAATTGAAAAAGGTTTTCGTATTTTGTGCGTAACATAATCTCTATTTGATGTTGAAAATAAAATATAGTGATGGGTCATTATAGTACCATTGAATGACATGGTTAAATGTGAGAATCAATGGCTATAATGGGTAGAGATATTAGGTTAGATTTATGCACACATATTCAGCATTCCACGGGTGTTTCATGATCACCATGAAGCTGAGTCACAAACTCTTTTCCATGCCTAGCAACTCATCTTGAATTCAATTTCAAACGTTACATCCATCTCTTTCAACCCTTCAAGCTTAGTCATAGCCTCTGTGGCTATTATGAGTTCCCAACCCTAATTAATTTTAAAGCACCTTTCAACATAATTGTAGTCGACATTATGAGTTCAATCCATTTGCCTACCTTAATTTCCATGGTCAAACATGAAATAATTCCATTGAGTATTCAATTTACAAAATTTTCATTCTTTTCTGCTCAATCTTAATGAAACGTATATAAAAAATGGCACATAAATCCTAACTAATCATGTATTAACATAAATTCTTATAATGAACGAACTCATATGCATCCTGAATATTAATAAATTGAGTGATCTTTCTCTATATTTATAACTCTTACATTATTTCAATTTATATATATTATATTTTTTAATATGTTGAAACGTCTTTTAAAAATAAATTTATCAACACACAATACCTAAACTATAAGAATTAATTTTAATAATATTATTATAATAGATATTAAACCTAATCACCTTCTTAAACAAAAAGATATTTTATATAAAAATAATTTAAAATGACTAATATTATTTTAGAGAAATAAAATTATGTACTGATAGTAATATTTTATCCTCTTCTTATTTTATATATAAATTAAAAGTAAATATAAATATATTTTATCATTTTATTTGAAATTATTTGGTGAAAACATTTTCCATCATACATTTTACACTTTAGGTGAAAACTGTTAGTTTTATGTAAAAGGAGGTTTCTTTGAATGAATAGATTATGATCTATTGCATTGAAATTGGTGGGTTTTATTTGATTATTTATTATATTAATAAAGTGGGGTCCTATTGCTTTATGCAGACACATAGGGAAAGTTCCAAATGGGGTCTTTTGTCCTCCATTTGTGCCAATTCATTAATTTATTATATTAATCATAAGCTTTTCTTTTTTAATCATTACTTGTTGCTTCACTGCTCATGAGTCACAAGATACGACCACTTCTACCTTCTGATGAAGGAAGCAAACAAATTTAAGAGCCAATATCATCTAACAACCAATTCTTCAACCTTTGACTACCACAATTTTTTTTTAAGCGTACCCAGAGTTATTACAAAAGTTACTTAAACTAAATATTTTATTATAAATTTTATATCTAAATTATTAAAAATGAAAAAAAATGATATAATAATTTTTTATTATTTTTAAATAAATTTTTTAAAGATATTCTTACTTCTTTAGTATCCACTTTGTCTATTGTAATTAATATTTTATAATTTTAAGATTTAGGACGTACTATAAATCTAATATAATATAAAATTATTTTTTTAATGACTTAGTGTTTATATATATATATATATATATATATATATATATATATATAATAAAAATACATTTTTAATTCTTATTTTAAGAATAAATGAATATTCTCTCTTTCTTTATATTATTATAATAATAATAATAATAATTATTATTATTATTATTATAATAATTATTAAAAATTTAATTTTCATTTTCAAATAATTTATCTTATTTTTTTAGATTAAAAATAATAAAAAATGAAAAGTAAATAAATTTATTTATATATAAAATAAGAAGTATATAATCCATAAACTAATATAATATAAAATATTTTTCTATTTTAATTTTGTTAGTCTTTGTAATATTGTAAATTTGGTTTTTATAAAATTTAATTATATATTTAATTTAAAATATTTAAAAATAAATAACTTACTTTATTTTAATATGTCATTTAATTGCTAATAAAAAATGTTAATATATCTATTATTGATAACAGGTGTTTGTCACCTAACTGCTTTGAAAGTTATTAAAATGTGTTAATTGGCGTTGTTATGCGTTGATATTTCCAATCAACGGTTGGCCATAATTATTTAAATTTCAATAAACTTAAATATAAAATGCATGACACAATTTTTATAGAGATTATAATTGCATATTTATAAAACTAAAGGTACAAAAAATGAATTTAAATCTAACTTTTAATTAAAAATTATTCTCAAATATTACAAAGTATTTTTCACATATTCATGTTTACAAATTTTTCTGTTAATAATTATTTATTTGACACTCCATTATCAAAATTAACGTAATATATATATATTACTAATTTTTTTAGATTTCTAGATATATGAAGTGAAAATATTTATTAATGTATTATTAAAAGATTATTAAAAACAAATATAAGGATTTTTTTTAAGTTATATTTGAGAGTTTATACAATTTTTGTTTGAAGAGTTAAAAAAACTACATTCCTAAAAAAATATTAGAAATTATTTTCTAACCCATTACACATCTATTTTTCTTTTATCTATTATTTGAATTATTTTAAATTAGAAAAATTAATCAAACATTTTTATTTATTTTTGTCACTTTATTTATTTTTGTTTAAATTAATTTTTTTTTTCAAGTTTTTTCTCTAACTCACTTCTTTATTTATTTTTTATGAGTTTTGAAGTTATCCCTATTTATAGATCCGAAATTCACATCTATGAATTGAAAGGTATGAATAATCCACTTTAAAATCAGTTATTAGAATCAATAGGTTTTCAAATCTTTCATCTAAAAAAACGATGAAGAAATTTTTAAATATATTTAAAAATAGTTTCAACTATACATGCTATTTCTAAAAATATAGATACTTAAAATACAAATAAAGACATGGTAAATTGAAAGAAATCGATATAATTAATTGTTAAAGTGCATTGGGGAAAGAAGCACATACCTCAAGTGTGGAAGTAAGAATTCTAAGAAAGCATTAATGGTAATTAAAGATGTGTGTGGAAGAGAAGCTGGAGTTTCAGAGTTTCACACCAACTTCATCAGAAAAAATTTAAGAATCAAAGAGAGTGTGTATTTATTGATGATGGGCAACATCAACATTTGGATCCCTTTCCTGCACCTATCTGATGTGGATATCACAAACCAAACCCTTTTTAGCTTTCAAAATTTAGCCATTCCCACTCTTCACCTTTGCCAATGTATATATTATATATAGCACAAGAGCCAGGTTTCTATGATTAAACAAATACTTTTATCATAATTAAATAGCCCTCAAATTCATTTTATATCCCTTTTTAATAATATTCTATTTTTTTAAAGTTATTTCTATTCATTTATTAAGAAGTTCAAAATTATATTCATTATCTCTTTATTAATTTAGCTTTTATTTTTTATTATATTTATTATAAAGAAAGAAGATTATATAATTTTTTAGACTGAGAGAAGATTAAAATGATAAATATATAATTATAAAAAATTTAATAAATATCTTAAATATAATGAAAGTTAATGCTTTACTTAATGTTTGTAGTGAAATTTTAAATAAATAAATATTAAAAAATAATGTAATTTAATTATACTAATTAATCATTATATTTTAAAAGCAAAACACTTACATATTATTGTTTTTAATAATTGAATTAAATATATTATATAAAATATTTATCATTATTAATTAAATTTAAATTTTAGAAAAATTTATTTCATTATTTATCATCTTTTTCTCTTAAAAAATAAATTTAAATTTTTCTATTTTAGAAATTATAAAAACTCAATTTAAATTTAACATTAAAATAAAACATCTTAAAATATTAAAATAATTAACTGATTTATAATAAATAATAAAATTTATATTAATATTTCATATTTTTATACTATGCTACACATATTAATTTATTATTATCTCTCTTTATTTTATTAACTTTTTTTCTTATGTCTTCAATACAAACACAAAAATTAAAAAAAAATTACAATTTTTATGTTATAAAGATAAAATTATAAAAAATAAAATTTAAAAACTAAAAAAAAACTTATAAATTTTATTCCGTAAGATGAAATCATGCAAGAAAAAAATATAAAAGTGTGTAAGAATATGAAAGTGTGTGATAAAGAAAAGTTGAAGGAAGAAAATGAAAATGTGTAAAAAAGAAAAGGTAAAAATATGAAGTAAAAGGAAGAAATAAAAAAAATTATAAGTGAAAAATTGGGTAAGAAAATAAATATAATATTTATTATAAATAAAAAGTTAAGAGAAAAAAATAAATTTATTTATTTTATAAAATATATATTTTTTAAAATTATTATATTAAAAAAAATTGTTGAGGGACGTGACCCTGCTAAGGTAAGACCAGTATTTCTAAACAGTTAAACAATATTTTAGATTTATAATATAGACTATATTTCATCAAATCATTAAAATCCGAAAAATGATAAGAGATCATATATTAATTATATAAAGTAATAGATTTAAATTTTCATTTATGTAGAAAATAACTTCATTTTCCATTGAAAAGTTCGCCAACTTTAAATTTGTTTAAATAAAATTCTCCATAAATTTTCTAAGAGAGAAAATAAGAAGAAAAAAAAATGTATTCAAAAGTTTAAATTAACTTGTGCATGAATTAAAAGTAATATTTAAAAAGATGAAAAAACTTTTGCATGTTAATTTATCAACTTACCAAAAAAAACTCATTTAACTTTTTTTTTTTGTCTTTAAAGTGATAGTGAAAAAATTATCACTGACAAGTAACAAGACAACGCATACAGAATTGTTGATATCACAGAAATGGATAACAAACAAACAAATTTTCATTCTTTATATTGAGATTCAGTTTAACATGCAATACATATACACCCACCTCCTTAACCAATAGCAACAGGGCAAAAAGACCGAGAAACAGAAAGCCACATTTTTTAAATACAAACTTGACAAAAATAAAAGAATAGAATCTGTCCACTGTGTTTATTGTTACTATAATATGTGAACATTAGAAGAGGAAGAAGAGGCATGCTCAATTTCAAAGGAGAAAACTAAAACTCACTCTCCAAGGCAGCGCCACATTCAAACTTGGACACTAACCATATATAGCTACGTCCATTATGGGCCAAAACCGAAGTGCTATGCATAGGAATCAATGTAGGGTATATATATATATATATATATATATATATATATATATAGATATAGATATACCAAAAAAACCACACTACCCAACAGATAAGTGCATTTCAAGATATATATAATAGCATGCAAAAGCAGCATGTATGTTTCTCATTGTATCTGAGTCTAGAACAGATCCACTTTCCTTTTCAGCATGTCTTGCTTCCATCTTGGCAACTTTGTGAATGCCTCTTTGCTCATTCCAAATACAGTTTCAAACTCTTTGTCTGACAGATACGCCTAAGCAACATCAAGTAGAAAAGCAAAATGTTAACATCTAGCCAAAGCATACAAACTAAAAGTAATCATGTACGTACCTCCCTTGAGGATTTGAAATAGGAAAATGATAAGGATATTGGTTAAGAAATTAAAAATACCAAGTTTTCATCACAACGTGTCTTTAAATGTATTTTTAATGTGATTTTCAATGCATTCTCCAAGTGAATTCTAATAAAAGTTTATATTTTGAATTTCTTAACCAATGAGTATTGGTTAACAAGACCCTTTCAAATATTACATAGGGCCCTCAATATCTAATAAAATAATAAGATTTCCAATTAAAATAGAATAAGTAATAGTACTGGAGTAGTTTTGTTCAATAAAAGTTACGGGAAACTTTAGTGATTGTCTCATTCATACTGGGATTAGCATATTAAAAAACATTAGTGATATGCAAACCGAGACTAACCTCCCTCCGTTTAAGATCAATCCCAGACACAACACTACCAGATTTAGTCTTTAGTTGCTCATAACTGAAGACATTTTGATTATTTTCATTGACATTTCCTCCATCCTCCACTTTTTCTTGTTTTGGTTCTGAATCCCCATTTGTGCCAGTTTTAGGGGCAAGTTCTTCAGTCTCCTTGACTTCAGCAGCAACTTCTTCAACAACATCAGTTTCAGAAGGGGCACTCTCATTTTTGGTATCCGGAATTGAGCTATGTTTCTCACCAAAGTTGCTATTTTCCACCACAGGACTACTGCTTGCCACAGGAGAAGTTTCAGGTGAAGTTCTCTTCTTTTCAGCAGTAAGAACTGAAGAAAGAGCAGCTACTGCTGCTGCTCTTTGTGATCCTTGACTTCTTCCAGATAACCTAGGTATATAGACTTTGGCTCCAGACGATGAATTAAATGCAGAGTTTAAGGCTGCTAAGGCTTCAGCCCTTTGTCTTGGTCCTCCTTGATTTAACCCATTTAACTTATCCTGTGCCAGTCAGAGTAGAAAATGTTAGAAAGAAGAACCAAGTTCTTTCTTTGCTTTAGAATGTTATTAAAAAATGTGTGCTTCTTTATGGATTTAAGCTTTTAGACATGTAATTGGATGTCCAGGAATTTGCGTCAATGTTCACATGATCTAGTATGTAGAAGAGAGTGGGGAAGAATAAGAACAGAAAAATCCTATGCTATCATTTCTTATCAGGAGTTTTGTAAAGGAGAGCCATAGGCAAACCCAAGCAAGAACAAACTATTTGAACGTATTGTATGTAATTAGTTCGTTTAATGTAAAATAAAGAAATAAAATACTAAACTATCAATAAAAAAGTGGTGTACCGCACTAGACGCTGCCTCAGGAGATGATTTGAATGCACTATTTAAGGCAGCCAAAGCTTCTGCTCTTTGTCTTGGTCCCCCTTGACTTGACCCATTAGACTTTTCCTGTCAGTAGATATAGCGTAGCATACTTAAGCATATAGATGCACAAGCAAAAAGAAATTAATAACTGCAATCATAAATTCATAGTGTATATCTAACACCAACAACATTGCGTCTGCACAGGTTTAAACAACTAGTAATTTTGTGAAAGAAAAGAAATATAGAAAAGTAGGAATTTAGGAGTACATTTGCCTGAACTTGAAAAGACTGGGAAACCGTTTTAGAAATAAATAAGAATCATAGATATCGGTGTATCATACATGAATAACAATCCTTTTATTGGATCTAAGTAAGCAATGTTCATGATAGAAGTTCAGTTTCAACAACTGCTTTTTAATGTTAAGAAAAGGGAAAAAAACTGTATGATTTTGCACGGTTCAATGTAACAATTTTCTCATGAAAACTAGAAGTCATGTTTATACCTCTACAGCATGGCCAATCCCAAAGAGTAATGTCACCTTTTTCTGGAATGAGTTCCCTGAAACCTGCATTTCATCAGGAAGATATTTATTAAATCAAGTTCTTGTTTGGTTAAAGGTTATGGTTTTCGTTTCTCTTTTTAATTTTCAGTAATAATTACAAAATTGTCACCTTTTTCAGTTTGTTTTCTGTACTCAAAGATTTACTCAGGAAATAGTGACAACAATTTTAACTTTAGTCTTCTTCAAAACCTCTTGGGTCAAAGTACAGCAATTTTAGAACTCACGTCCTATACACTTTGTATGATTAAATATACTATTAGTACTAAGTAGCCCTGGTTCATACATGGGAGGAGCTGTTTTAACCTATAATCTGAGCTTGCACAGTTACTTTTAAAGATGGAATCTGTGTTATACAACAACAACGACAACCTTATTTCATTAGGTGAAGTCAGCTGCATGAACCATATGATGCCATTGGAGTCGTTCGAAAACCAAAAATCTGTATTATTGAACTTCAAAATTGCTGTCATCCCTATATTTTATGACAAAATGTTTTTACCATATCAGCCAGTTAGCTAAGAATTAGACTGTTTCCAATCAGCAGACACATCCAGAAAAATACAACTTTACAAGCCACAATGATTGTAAGTGAGAGAATGAAGATATTTTAGCAAGACAGGGAAACAAAAAAACTGGATTTCCCTGATGTTTTAGCACATACCATAGCTTTTGCATAATCCCAAGAAAAGTATGTGGTGAAAAAGCACGGTTCATTCCCTTCAGTTACTTTATATAGTGGAACTTGAGGAGATAGTCCATCCAGAGATGCAGCCTTATCTATGTATTTCTGAAGGAAATTTATAGTATACATCAAGTTAAAGGAAATGTGAGAAGTGAAAGATCTAATTAGTTGAGCATGTTTACCTGGGCAATTTCAAAAGCATTTTGCTTTTCTTTTGGATCCACACACTGACCAATCCAAACAAAAACTTCGGCGTGGGTGTCAAGTATGAGGATATCCTCTGTTAACAAATCATCTTGGGAAAAGTTGTAAACCTCCTCTACCTGAAGTGTGCAATATAAAAATTGATTTAGAAGACATATTACAACTTTCCTAGCAGTACTGTGAAAGTTCACATAATGAGGTTGCAGTCACAAACTCACCTGTAACTTTCCTGGTACATCCATGTTGCAAAGAAATATACAAAATTAGTAGTTGGTCAGAACATTCAATTATCAGTAAATAAAATATGCTATTTATAACAAAATATTATCCACAAAACCACTTTTAGAAAATATTCTACCTCTGTTGAAAGAGAAAGTGAACAAATGTGCGTCTCGGACAATATCATTGGTGACTTTTTTGCTGCTGTAACTTTGTTTCCCCCCAACTGCAAACCAGAAAGCTGAGGTTTCTGTTCCTTCTTTAGCAAGCTTTAGAGAAACTCCTGGCTGGACATGGATGTGCAACATGTTAACAAATAATGTGTAATGTAAAATACCGTTGATCTAAATGTCAAAAGAAATCATTAGTTTACTGATGAAAAAGAAATAGCCAGAGGCAAAGGCATATTTTAGCCAGTTACACGTGATGCATTAGGGTATAAACTCAAGAATATAGTAATCCAAAGATTATTTGAATGACATTATCTTGAAGTAACCAATGGTTAGCATAAGAAATATGAAAACCATTGCCACAAATTCTTCCCTGACAGGTAAATCTATACTAGTTGCCAGGAACTGTAAATTCAGTGTTAAAATCATAATATAAGACCAACTTAGTTATTAAACTTTATATGATGGTGCTTGAATACTGCAGCAGAACCACCCAACATTGAGCTAATACCCTTAAAAAAGTTGATCGTCTTCTTTATTAACTGCAGACAAGTTCACAACTAGGGCCACGAAAAAATCTCCTTCAAAACAGAAAGGAACAAAAAGACAAATGATAGCAGGAAAGAACTTGAGAAAGGTTACCTTTAAAAACTCAGTAACTTTTGCTGCAAGCTGCTGCTGCTCAAGGGAACATTGATTCCCATGCCAAGTAAAAACAGCTGAGCCAGATTGCAAAACAAAACACTCGGTAGAATTCAAAGATGCCGCAACCTGAACAAAGAATACCATAATCGTGGTCAGCTAGTAGAGAAGAGAAGCCCTACCAACATAACCAATACAGTGGACAAAAAATGAATAGTTTAATTTTTAGAGGAACATACTGCATCTACTTGGACCACTTTATTATTATGAGCGGATGTTCCCGAAATTCGAATAAGTGCAATACTTTCTGCTGTGTATGTCTCATCTGGCAAGCCTTTTTCTGCTATAATTTTTTTGTACCCAGAGCTCAAGCCTCCCTGAATCAGACATAAGTCGGTTAAACTAATCAACCTCACACTATCTATAAGGGTTAATAAAATTAAAATTGGACTTTGCAAATGATACCTTGAGGACCACCATTGGTTGGAAAAGAGCAATAAACTGAGGAGGCTCTTTACCATCAAATATGCGACCCTACAAGAAACAATTACAATTAAACACATTTTCCAGGCAACACCCCAACATGATATTCACATTAAGGGTACCTGAACAGGTCTGCCCTTTAATGAGTTGAACATTGTATTAGCCAATCGAGTAGCCATCCTTTGGTCCTCCTGAAAATAAGACAGAACCAAGTCAAATTCTTATAACATGTGTTTTGCAGATGAACTACAATAATTCGAGTATTATTAATTAGTATGGAAGCAAGTTGCAATCTAGGTATTTCGACAAGATATGAGTCATGAAAGATATAAAATTGTTAGAGTACACACCCAAGGTTATTAGATTCAGATATTAAAATATTGAACGAAAGGAGCTCAATTTATTGGTGCACAAATATATTACTATATATGAGCGTTTCATACAAAAATAATCTATTATGGGAATCATGAGAACTTTATTTCCAAAGATCCTTCCTCACCCTCCGCAACACTTGCATGTGGTAAATATTGTGCTACACAGACCAGAAAGACGACAAAAAGAAAATCAATAACTTCAATGAACAGAGTATGATTGAAAATGTAAACCATATATTTTTTCAGAAAAGGAATTACTGTACAGCCCCTCTGTTTTTCTTGCACATATCTTCATAGGAGTCTCCATGATTAGATAACTCTGTTGTATTTTAGCCTTATTTGTTTGCACTGTTTTATTCTTAGATAGCTTTCGAATTAGTTTCTTTGATCCAGACTAGGTAACAATCGAATTTTATCCTTTTATAGATCCCTGGTCTTCAACAATCTTATTTTTCAAGTCAAATAATATAGTTTTATCTTGTATGGTTAAAAAATATATGGATTTTTGTCGTAAAAAATAAAAGAACAGAAAAATTGATTGGGTTGCAACCAAATGCAGTAGTTCTCACACGCACATATATTGCTAGCTTGATATGGAAAGTCAACCACTTAGACACAATCATACAAAGGATAAATTGTTTCCATCAAATATAGCCAAGAGACTTCATAGTCTGTTTCCAACAGAGCCGTTACACATACAGAATATTATCACAACCACAGAATCATTGGCAATGAAAGTTCACATAGAAATAACAATTTTGGCCAAGGGTGGAAATTCTAGGCTTAACAATAGGTGAGTATTGTAGAGTTAAAACAAACAAATTATGTCAATTATCACTATATTTGGAGCTCAAATGAAGAGCATTTGAATTACCTCAATGCTGTCTTTTCCAAACCAACTGCACAAGTAGTAGTCTTCCTTCCTCTCGCTAGAGTGATAAGTGTACAGTACTATGTAACAATCTCCACTGTAAAATTTGCCGATATCCTCCTTAGGTAATGGAGTCTTAGCACTTCCATTGATTTGCCATACCTGGAAATATCAAACAATATTACATGTGTACTGGAATTAATTTAATTAGCTAAGAGACTAGATAAAAAAATTACAAAATTACCTCCATCTTTCCACCTCCTTCAAGCAAAGGTGGAATTTCCTCCACAACTGGGGTGCTTTTTGCCGCCCCTTTCACACCCATACCTTGTTGCTTCAGCAAAGCTGACAGTGCAAAAAACACTTTCATAGTCAGCATGATGATTGGACAAAAGGCCAAGCCAAATTACAAGTGAGAAGAAATGATATCCACCTGCAACTTTTCCTCTTCCTTCATCAGAACTGGTAGTAGCAGACCCTGATGGCCAAGAATCAAAATTGGACTTAAATGAATGTGTTTCATAACCTTGAATAATTCTGGTAATCCTTGTAGATTTTGGCCTTTTTTGACTTGCGATAAACTCCTGAATATATTAGTAAATTTAATGACTCCAATTCAAACCAACATATAAAGAAATAGATTTTGCAATGGCATTACCTCAGCTGTTTGACATGCTGCTTTTCTTTCTTCAACTTGTGTTACCCGGCCAACCCAGACAAATACCTCAGCACCACAGTCCAATAGATAGCATTTGTAGTTCTCCAACAGTGATTTTGAAAGTTCCCCTTCCACAGGCTTGACCTCGCCGTCAGCAATACTGCAAGCACAATGTCATATCCTCCAGATCAAGAAACTTAAATGCTTAGTGCACATTCCATAAAACAGAGAGAAATGAAATAGGAACTAAAAGGGAAATATCTGTACAGCTAGAAGTATTAAAGGAGAAAAAAATTTGAAAAAAAGAAAGATTAAGGTTATGACATATTCAGAAGAAAATAATGAACTTCAGGCATACTGAGAAGGATTCCAAACACCCTAGCTTTAATCAATGAAGTTATCCCCTGTGTCTCATAGACAAGAGAATACATTCGGAATCAGCACAAATCTATAATGCACTTCTCTCGGCACCCATGTGCTGCCTAAACTGCAACCCGTGAATCAAATTTTACATACTAAGGGGATATAAAAAAGAGAGAGGATAGGATATAAAATTCACGAATAAAAGAACAAAATTCCAGAAGACATTGTTGACCAATAGCTACATGTATCCCTTTATAAAGTGTAATTTATGTACAATACACAGTTTTCTACTCAATTTATTGAATTGCAATCAAGAAGATTTATGGAGTTATACCTATAAAGTTGGGCAGGAATGGTCTCTGGAACAATATCATCCTCACCAATTACCTTCTTCCCAATGGGCGCAAAACCACCAAATAGAACCCAAAATTCACCTGAGTCTGACTCAGTATCTAGCTTGCCATCATCTGCAATGTGGGATATATTTTATAGTCACAAACAAAACCAAAATAAACACTTGAAGAACTAGTATTCATAACCACATGGTAGGCTTTGCAGCAAGTGATACGAAAACATGTGCCTTGTGCCCTTACCTACAATTGCAACATCGCATTTGCCCTCATGATACTTTTCCTTCAACAACTGAATAACTTCCAGAGCCTTGGCTCTTTCCTGGATATTGGAGTTAGCACCATTGAATTGATAAATCTTATTCTGAGTGTCTAGGATGAACACATCATCATGATTCAGCGAAGACCGTGCGAAAGGGACCTGCATAAGGCAAACTTTGTATCACAATTTTAATCGATGAATGTGTGCACTGAATTTATGAAGTACATGAATAAAGAACACTGTGCCTGTTTTATTCTGACAACTCGTTTTCCTCTGCATACATACAAACGCGTTTCAAACTCCTCTTCTTCAGGTTTTTTAAATCCAGATGCGATACCCCCCTCTAATGGTATTATACATGGCTTAAAATATGACAAGAACTTGTCAGATTCATGCCCTTGAATTTCCCTGTGTTGCACTGCACGCCCTCCAAGAGACGCATCAAGTTCAACAGTTTTAATGGCTGCTGTTCCAGCTTCATCCTATAAGGAAAATCACCAAATAGAGATTATTCTATTGTCAAAATATATTGGTTAAAGATTTTCCAAACGGTGTACCGTCATATATAAACCTACTTTATACCAGAAAGAGAAAAAGAATAAAACTGGAAGGAAACATAATTACAAAACTTGAAACAATATCTTTTCTTAAAAAACATAATATTATTAGTTTTAACATTTTAGTCACCTATTTGTTCTATGCGGAGAAGCTGAATGGGACAAGAGAGAGGTTGGAAGAAGGGGAGGGTGAAAGTCCAAACTTACCTGACTTGTGTCCTTTCCAATCCAGAAGTGAATATCATAAAAATAAGCCCCTCCTTTGCCTTGTGTTGTCTGCAAATAAACGTCAAATGAATACCCAATTTTTTAAAACAAAAAGTGAAAGTCTATGTTTCTACTCGATAACACGATCTTTTTAAAGACTTTCATCTGTATAAGTAGGAATTCTGCTAAACGCTTTAAAGCTTTCCTTATTCATCGTAGAACTTCGTTCTGTTCCCCTAATATTGTAAGTTGACATTAGTCACCCTTTTTAGGCCTTTATGGATAGAAGTTACTTTCTCTATTAGCTGTGTATATGCTTTGGTCTAGAGTTGAAATGCCATAACTAGCATTGCATTTGTTTCAATTTCACAAGAAATAAAATAAAATTTAAGATATTGTGCATCTCAAACAACAATAAATTAACTGTTTACACAACATTCAGCTTCCAGGATCACAAAGTAATAAAGTTTAGTAACGTATGAAAATGTAGGAGATGATATTGGATGCAGCTTGCACCTGCAAGATGATGTAAGAATCTCCCATGTAGAATTTCCCATATTCAGATCTGGGCAATGGAACTGGTTGAAAATTCTCAATCCTCCATATTTCAGTCCCTCTACAAAAAGGTTAAGTCTAAAACCCCTCAAGCAGATAATATATTCAGTATATAACAAAAAAAAATGAACATTGATGCTTTACCGAAAATCGAATAAAAATGCTTGGTCATTCTCTTAGCAATATTTTTTTTCTTTACTATTAAACTTTTTGTACGTTTTTTACTTATTCCTATTGAATATTTTAAATAAAAACAATCTATTTTCATGATTTCTTTTATAAATCACCCTTTTATTTAAGGATACACTTTTTGACCAACTCCCTGGAACGCTGGATCCAAAACTTTTGTAGCACTAGACATGGCTGAAAATTCCTTCTAAAATACTGTCTTTTCAGCTAACACCTGCAAATTCCAAAGTAATCCCTTGCATGAGAGAAAACAAAGTTAAGATGCTTTAGCAAGAGAAAATCATGTATCACTGTCAAGCATGGAGAACAGCAGCAGCAACAATTTCAGTGGCATTTAGTAGACATATTAGAACAGGATAGAGGGTGTTGTATCCTATGTTTGGTGCCTTCTAAAAGTAGAATAAAAATGGTCATGGTGTTAGAAATGGTATACTTGGATTCCACCACAATTGGTGCCTACAAAACAAAACGTAAAGATATTGGACACACTTAGCAGTGTCATTATGCTGTATATCAGAAGAAAGCAAAACTAATTACTACACGACTCAAAATCTTACCTATTGTGGCTGGAACATACATTTTAGTCCTATCAAATGAAATTTACTGTCCTATACACGCACTGAATCTATGATATAAAATTTGTAAGCTAACTCTTACTTCAGGAATACCATCATACTAGGCTTCAGCCTGCCATTCTATTAGGTGATGGCTCATGAATGGATTTATATCTAACACACCCTCATGCAACGGTAATTTGGATTGGAAATGCAGACCAGAAAAGTCACTGGAGAGGAGGACAGATGACTGCAGATAGCAGAGAAAGGGGAGTTTTCTGTAAAAATGGCACAGCGCAGGAAGACCAGTAAATCACAGTTGAAACATGGATTGAAGGTTGCCTTCAAGCTGATACTAAGTTGAAAGTAAACACAGGAAAAGACATAGAGGTTATAAATTGTGTTTCAACTACACAACATAGGCTGGACGTATAGAATTGATGAAAAATCGATACAATATATACAATTTCCTAATTACTATGATTACATGATTTGGTTAGACTCTAGCCTATACAATGAATCTGAATACTAATGCTCTCAATGCATAAGATGTCTTGTTTCAATTTTTAAGAATCTTCTCTTACAATTGCAAGAGAAATATGTCATCAGACTTGGGAATTTCTCCATCCATTTTACTCTCCAAAAGATCTTCAAGTACAGCCCTTCTTAGTAAAATATAATGTCGTTTATTGATTAAATCCAACTTGTCACCTTGTGTATGTACACATTTTTCAACACTAAATGGATTTTTAGAAAAGAGAAGGTACTGAAGTTTAACTGTTGAACAAATAGGCAAAATAGATCGAACAAGGCCAATGTTTATCGATTATCATCCCAACTGTTGATTACTTCTGTATAATTGTAGCACAACAATCATCCGCGTCACATTTGCAAACTGTTCACAAGTCCAATTAGGTGGATACTACAAACTGATGGCAGCATTATCAGGTTGAGGCGCCCTACATGTAAATTGATGCAGAGAGTTCAGCTAATATATTGCTCATTTACTGCTTGCGCTCCATCATGTAACATGTCGCAAATCAAGTCCAAGTCATTGATAACCAAACAGATTCAGCATTCCAAATTTCAGTTTCTGAAATATGTGAAGCTTTCTAAAACCAGAAAAATAGTTCATGATCGCCATAGCTATTCACTGGACACGAGTTGTTCACTTAATAGTTTTTCACTAAAGATCAAGGAATTTTGAGCACATACTTGATCTGATCCTGAGCTGACAATCAAGTAGTAAACACTGCAACTAAGCTGAAACAAATGAAGAACTTTGGATCATAATGTAGGGGATCAACTTGATTTGTTGCTAGAAATTTGAATACTAAGATCTAGTGCTCATTTAGCCATCTCTCTGTCCAATTAAAATCTAATAAAAAACATGAGAATTGATCAAAGCTTGATTAACAAAAGCAATGCACATCAACATAAATGGATACAGTACAGGTGAGATCACCAAAAGAAGAATCAGATAGATGATCAAAGAGCTCAAAGGTCGTGTGAGCCAGCATCAAAACAAGAGGGTGCCCAATAAAAAAACCACAGTGATCACCAAAACAAAAGGCAAAAAGAAGAACAACCCATCAAAGTTACCAGAATATGGGGCCGAGCCAGATCAGCAACCAAGACACTGAGTGAGAAACAACGATGAGAGCATGAGATCAAGGATGAGAAAGAGCATTCTGAGGGTGCATGAGTATAAGAAGAGAAAGGGGGAGTGATGAGAGGAAATGGACGTACCTGAGATCTCAATGCGTGATGATGGTGTGGTTAGTGTGTGTGAGAGAGATAAGAAGAAACAAGGTATGGGGAGGACAAGGTTTTGAGCTGGCAATAAAGAGAGAGAAGAAGATACTTGTTGGAAAGAAAAGTGAATTATTGCTGTGCTTGTGAGTGAGTGAGTGGCCTCCTCTCTCTCTCTCTCTAACTTTTTTCTTTATAGCCTTTTGAGATTTGCAACAATTGGAGTTGCAGAGAGAAGGGTATGGATGAATTATGACGAGGAAGAAAATGAAAGTATGATGACATGAAAGGCCAAGGCCAAGTTGGTGAAAGGAATGAGAGAAAAGAAAAAGAAAACCAAACAATGAAAAAAAAAAAAACCAAAAACAAGTTATTTATTATGTAAGACGCATGAGAGAAAGTCGTTATTTTAAGGTAAAGATTCGCCCAACTGCTAGTTTTGGCCTTCTAGTTGCTTACCTGGATTCTTTTTTGGATTTTCCTTCCTATTATCTTTACTCTTCCCTCTCCTTCTCTCTCTCTCTCCATATCTATTCACACTCATAAATTTTTTTCATTAGTAGAAATTGAACCCAAGTAATTTATAATAATACTCACGTATTTTACTCAATTTACCTATTGAGTTAAAACTCCTTTGACTTGTTTCAAATTATCTAACCCCACCTCCTCAAATTGTTTTTTCTTCACTTAGAACTTTTCCATCACAAAAGTTTCACTGAAACATTAGGAAATTATAAAGATTTAACTAATCTAAATAAGATATGTGATTTAAGTAAAATATTTCTTATATGGTAAAATTATATATGATAATTGATATGAGAATGTGATATAAGACTCTTTGTATTGGTCTAAAATGGATCTGAATTTGTGCAACAAGAAAGTGTAATACTTTACATATTGGACTAATATTTATATGGAATGTTCACTTTCTAAACTAGTTATAATTATAATCATAATTTACTTAAAAAGTTCATATACTCAACATAACGAGTTTGAGTTAAATGATGTAATATTTACATAAATTGTAACAAAATAACCTTCTTATAAAACATGAAATCCATCAATTTCATGTTTGTAATGGTTATGACTTGAAAATAAAAACTCTATAAGTTAGTAGCTCATTAGAAGAATAATTGACTATTAACTAATAGTCATAGGTTTGACTCTTATTTGGAGAAATTTAATTGATTTCAAAATTTGTAAATTTTTTTCAAATTATTTGATTAATATTAGTGAGTTACAAAAAAAATTAATATAAAATTTGTTTATATAATCTATCTACAAGAAACTTTTCAACTTACGGGTTTGAACCGGTGTAATATTTACTAAAAATACAGCAGAGAGAGTTAACTCCAATTTCTCTTTTCTTTTACAATTAGAACAAACTTCTCCTTGAAAAAACGTTTTAGAACAATTATTTTTCTATTTCTAAATTAAATGTCATACCCAATTTTATTTTTAAAAATTAAATGGTTAATTTATTGTTGATGGTGAACTTAGCGAAACACAACAAAAAGTGAAGCATAGAAATTTATAGTTGGTACATAAAAATGAAAGAAAACAAAAGGAGTAAAAGATAAGATATTGAATTGAGGATTGAAGTTCACAACATACATAAAAAGTTAAAACCGTCCAAATCATTTTATGTCTTACACCAGAGTCTCATGTGTAGGCCCTTACAACTTGATATTGAACCCTCATTTGCCTCAAAATGTATATGATTAATTCAATTGAAAAACAAAGCAATAATTCTAACTAATTCACCACTGCTTTTGTTGGTTTTGAACTGGTTTGGTCAATTCTTAGATGCCAAGTTTCGTGAGATGAATAAATTTCCCAATGAATTTTAGGAATGGTTGAGAGACAAAATTGATTGATTAGAACAGTGATGAGAGCCAATTAAATGAGTATAAATGCCTAAGACAGATTAAATGAGAAGATAGAAGGTGTTGAAATATGAAGAAGAAGAAAAAATGTGATGTGGGGTGCAATTTCACCAATTTAAAATAGAATAATTGTGCATTGTGAAGTTACATCAAAGGAAAAGAAGATATAAGGTTTAGTTTGTTGTGAAATGGAGTTGCTCATCTAATTTACAAATAAAGACATTGGACTGCTAAAAGAAGCAACATGGTCCAGCACTCACCCAATAGAACTCACATTTGTCCCTCCTCAAACTTCACAAATAATCTCATCAATAAATAATTGTTCATTCAACCATCAATGTCATTTAAGTGTAAACCTAATAAACAGGGTTCAATAAGTGTGGTAGGTTTTGTAAACCTAATAAACCTACTCAATTGAATTCTCATGCGTTTAATTTTAAACAGTTTGGGTAAGTCAGTGTTCTGCATAATTGTTTATGAACCAAAGTTAATAATCTACCTTTCAAAGGACAAGGTACTTATTAGTTATAACTGATAAGACTGGTGCATCACCTTCTGTTTTAAATTACTATACCATAATACCATTTGGTGCCCTATTATTAGTTATTAATCTTCAATCTATTCAACCAATTAATAACATCAAGCTAGTTAATCTGTAATTAAAATTATACTTGTAGTAAAAATTACACCAACTATAATTACTCACAGAATACATTGTTAAATGACCTTAAAAATATGTATCCATAGATTAAAAAAAAAAAGATAGATATAAATTACTTTTAACCTCGATTATTAAACGATATACTCAAAAATAAATGTTCCTAAAAACATTTTTATCATAATACTTAACATTATAAACAAAAGCAATGTCAACAAAAGGGTGTTTAAACCCAGTAAATAATTTGATTATAGACTAGAATTAAAAAAAAAAATTAGAAGTTTAGAGATAGAAAAAGATAGTAAAAGCTTGAATTTTTGTTTTGAAATGGTGATTAGGTAAATAAAGAGGGTATTGAGACGCAGGATAGAGAGGAGAGATATTGCAGAAAAGTGGAAAAAAGATGAAGGGTCTACCATGAAGTTGGGGAAGATGCCTCCAGACCAGAAAAATCAAATGGGGTCAAAGATGCAAAGAATGTAGCTCTTTTTGTTAAAAGGAATACATCAGATAAAGTCATAAAGTAATTTGATGTGTATTGACTAAAGATTGCTTAATTATACAATGAATTATCATTTAAATCCACAAAATTTGTTGACATTGGACAAACCATATGGGTCTAAAAATCAGTTCATCAGTCACCAAATAGAAACAGTGGTAAAACAAGTTAAAGGAGAAGGAAATTAAGAAAAGGTGGATAATCTTGTACTGTCAAATGTCAATAACACATTGGCTGGCAATGTCAACAAACTTTTTGCTGTCCATCTTTTTAAGAAAAAAAAAAATCCAATGAACACATGAAAGTAGTGTATGACCTTAGCATTTGTTGGATGTTGTTTCTATATGCAATATCCCCACCCTTCTCTTCTCACATTGTTTATCAAATCAAATCACAACATTTTTGTAGCAACAAAAGATGGTAGAAGGCTAAGTTACTCCAACATTAATTATTTCACAAGTATATCTATCAATGTCAATGTTTTTCATAATTTTACCTTTAGGAGCTCAAGTGTACATTGGTATTATAATATTTTTAAGTTCATAACTTTTAAATAAGTATTAATATTCTCTATTACCTATAATATTTTTAGTAAAAATTTTATAATATATAATTCATAATATATATTATGTTGATTAAAAATATGATCAATGTATATATTATATAATTAAAGTGTAAATCTTATATGATTAAGTTAGATTTGTTGATCTATAAATTTATTTTATTTATAATCCGATTATCTATTGAATATATTAAAGATCAAAATCATCTTATAATATATAATTAAGATATAAATTTTATCTTTAAATCAATTTTATAAAATTTAGGAGTCGCCTAAAAAAACAATTTGATGTATAAATTATAATAGTGATATTTTTTTAATGAACGGAAAAAAAATTCTCATTGGTTATGTTGCATGAATATTTCTACAAGTATGGATATATGCCTGAACAATTCTCAAGTGTAATTTGCATTTTGCAGGTGCTGGGTGTGGTAACAAAGAAATTGCAAGATGAATGAATTATTTGACTTTTATGATATTATTAGGAAAAAATAAATAAAACAAGTCAAATTGTTGAAAACAAATCTGGACAAATATGTTTTTAAGCGTTTCATTCAATTAAAATTAAAGTAGAAAAAAAAATGTCTTTAGTATTTGTCAAACTTAGTTTTACTTCTTATAGTTTCAAATAAATGAATTAATCCTTCAATTTTTATTTTTTTAAATGGCAAAGATAATAAAAAGGTGAGGGTCATCTCATCATTTTGCTTGCAGAAGTACCTACATGATCATGTGAACGTGTTAAATTTCACTTGGAACAATAAATCACAAGAAAATTGCAGTAAAGTAGTTTAGAATTAAAAAAATAAAGTGAAAAAAGATCACGAAATCACATGAGACTTGATAAAACACTTTCCCAACAAGAATAAGTTCTTTTTTTTTTTGTTTTACTAATTTATCAATTTTGATTCTTCTTATTATTGAAGACGCAATTGATTGAATATTTTTTAGAGAATCCATTAATTGAATTAAGTGTAATTAGGGGTGTGAAACCGAACCGTGTTGTTTCATCACGTGTTACATTTTAATTAGACTCATTTTTTTAATTTAATTATTTTTTATCTTTTTAAATTATTAAAATAGATAGGTTGACTCATTAAAATATTTTTTTATTTATGAATAGGAATCTTATTCAAAACTATTTAACTGACTATTTAGTGAGTTGAATTTATTTTAATCCATTATTAAATTTTTTAAAGTGTTTTCAATCTTAAAAATTAAATTAAGATTAATTCTAATACTCTAAATAGAATAATTTCATTAATTAATTAAGTTTTTTTATCATATGATTAAATATATTAAATGATGGTCAAGACATGTGTGGGGCTTACAAATTATCAGGCATGGCATCAATTTAATTAACCAAGTGAATTCAGATTAGTTGTGAGAAACAGAGATTAATTATTTTAATAATTCATTAGATATAAGTGAGTGTTGTATATTTACTTTTCAATTCTACCTCAAAATAAAATAGAAAAATGAGAAAAATTGGTATAGGATAGATTAAGAGAAGTGAATCTCTTTACCTTTGCTTAAAGTTAAAGGTTAATTATATAAGCAAATTTGCTTAAGAAAAAAAAAACTCACGTTTTTTAATAAGAAAAAATTAAAGAAAAAACGTTTCAATATAAAATTAATAGTAAATTTACAAAATTAAGTTAAATATTCACCCTAAAAATCTTATCATTAAAGTGAATTTTTGTATAATATGCTTAAATTTATATTATCATTTTAAGACCTATAAATTAAGATAAATAACCCACTTAATAATTTATGCATTATAGATATTCTAAAATTACAAACATTGAATTAAAAAATATAATATTTCGGTAATTAATTTGAAAAGAATATTTAATTCTCAAAGTAATAATTAGTAATTGATAAAAAATATATTCAATCAAGGTTAAAGATTAATCATGGTATACTATTTACTATTTGTTTCAAAATGATTTTATTTTATTATTATTAAAAGAAATATTATATAAAATTAATATCATACATCCTAAATTTAAAAAAAAAATTAAGCAAAATTAGAATAATTTTGGTAAACTATTTTTTATTACATGAATTAATATTAAATTTATATATAAAGCTAAACCGATTCTTAGTATATAATATTTTATCATATTTGAGATGAAATTGAAGTTGTAAATCATGCGTGCAACATATCTCTCACATCGTGCTTAGACCACAATCATGAACACCAATTATTGTAAGAAATTAATATAAACCAATCTAAAAAAGAGTTTGCGATCAAGAATTTTTTTTTTTTCAAATTAAAAAAATAATGATAAAAATTAACAATGAATTATCATTTTCTTTGTGGCAAGCCTCATCAGAGAATTGCAAACAAAATAAACAAATACATGATATAATAATATTATAATATATAAATAAATATAATCTTTATTTTATAGAACTAATTTTGTTAAATTAAATTATGCATCTTTTCGTATAGAAATTATATGATAGTCATTTTATTAATATTTAGATATAAAAAAATATTTTCAAAAACCTTAAATTAATTAAAAATACAATAAATATTATTCTCATAATCGAAATACAATTGATTTAGGTATATAAATTTATGTTTTAAGTAATTTTTGAAGTAAAAATGTTGATACCCTACAACTGATTAAATTTAAGCTTATTATTCTTTTCAGCTCCCATTATTAAAAAATAATGTCAGTACTTGGTATAAATAAAATTTCTTATAATATTATTTTTTTTTATAAAAAAAATAAGGGTGTAAGTTGACTTAAGGTTTAATATATTTGTAGGTCCCTAAGCTATATGATTTTTTTAATTATATTTAAAAACAAAAACAAAAATTGTAATTAAACCCTTGATTTCTTTCTAACTTGTAATTAAATTATTGTTTTTTCTACCGATTTCCAGCTTAATTTCAGACTTTACTAAATTTTTGAATGGGTGAGAAATGAAATAAAACTATCATTTTGTTTTCCCTTTAATTTAAATTCAATCATCTTTGAAATGCCTTTCTTATGATTATAAATTAATTTGGATTTGATAATTTGAGATGATTTACTTCTTCTATCTTAATTTTGATTTTATAATTTGAGATGATTTACGTGAAAGATTTGGTGATCCTATGTTTAATTTGAATTCTTTAAGAAGAGATTTGAAAAAAAAAAGTTAAAATGGAATGTTATGATATATAGAATAAATAAATATAATTAATTGAGAAAACAATCTATTATACTTTAGTACATAATTTATTATATAATTATCTCTAATTTACATAACCAATTCTAGTAAAATGATGTAATATATAAAATAAAAATTAATTATGTTTTAGTTACAAACTTCAATTTTATTACTCAAACAAATACAACTTCTGTATTAAAAATGATACTAGAGGGTACATAAAAATATTATTAAAATAAAATTATTAAAATATGGTTTAATTAGATATAATTATTTATAATAAATATATTGATTGTTATATTATTTATAATATTTTATAATTTTATAATATGAATCTTATATTAACAATTAAACTCTTATAATTATAATTATTAAAATTTTAAGTTTGAATTTGGAATAAATTTATTTTAATAAATTATATTTTTTAAATTAAGTGAAATTAGTTTTATTATTTATTTTTATTAATATTTTTAATTTATTTTATATTCAAGTTGAAAAAAAAATGTGACAAGGAATAATTTTGTAAGAAATATTTTAAAAATATAGATAATTTAAGAATAGAAATTTAAAAGGAAAAATGATAATATTTCTAATTTTAATTAAAATTCAGTAAGATTTAAACAATTTTATTCTTTATGAAGAATTTTAAAAAATTATAATTAATAGAAATTTAACGAAAATGATATTTTTAATTATAGTTAAAATTTGATAAGATTCAAACAATTTTGTTGGTATGATTTGTGAAAATTTTAAATAAAAATTTACAATTAAAAAAGAAGTACAATATTATTAAAAATATATATTTATTTAATTTTATAATATAAGAAACAAAATAACATAATTACATATAATTTATATTATAAAATTTAAAATATATTTAAAATTTCACCAATTGAAAAAATATTTTTTTAAAATTTATATAAATATATTCATTTTATAGTGTAAATTATTAATAAATTTTAATTTGTTAATAATTTAATTTTAACGCAAAGTTTATTTTTCATTGTAATTTTTTTATTATATATATATATATATTAATTAGCATTTTAAATACAATTTTTTACTTGATTTATAATTAACTATTTAAATAATTTAAATTTTACTTTTAAATAATTTTTAAAACATTTTTTTAATTTAAAAGTACCTATAGATTTTTATAATTATAAAAATAAAAATTAAATATTTTTTAAATATCATAAATTATTTTTTAATTTATATAAATTAATTTTAATGTATATAAATTTTTATCTATAA